CCTATAGCACTGATTCTTATAAAGTTGAAATACCGAGTAGAACTGCCAGATCATGATTGAGTTGTTGCTAAAAGGTATAGACTGATCCCTTCAGTTTATGCAGTATTAGATGTATAAGAAGGTAAATATAGACAAACTGAAGCAGTAACATATTCAGGTCCAACATTCATAAGAATTCGTAGCAGTAAACATGATAGTAGCACTGCTTACTCTCATGGCAAAGACTTCGATAATCTGATAGTTGAGGAGAAATTACACAACTTTACTATAACAGATGGCCAGTCTAAACCTATAATAGTAATAATAAGTAATAGTGGCCCTAATAAGAATCTATGCTATAGAAAAATAGTTCAGATGATAGTAAATCACTTTATTAAATATGATCTTGATACTATCATCATGACATGCTATGTACTACACCAAAGTGTATCCAATCTAGTAGAAAGATGAATGGCACCTTTAAGCTATAAGTTAGCTAGTATAATCCTTTCACATAATACCTTTGGGTCATATTTGAATGCATAATTAAAGACAAGTGATAAAGAATTAGAAAAATACAATTTCAAAGCAGCTGGAAATGTTTTGACATCAGTGTGGGAGAATACAATTATCAATAATTATCCAGTAATTGTTAAGTATATAGAACCTTCTAAAGAATCCTACTGCCTAAATAAAAAATTAATAGCTTAGATGAAAAAATATATAATGACTTGTTATTATATGACTCAAGTTATAAAGTGTGATAATCCAAGCTACCATAAACCTTTTCACAGCAGAATCAAACAGGTCCTTCCAAATTATTTTTTTGCACCACCACTTCTAATCCAACAGAAGCTTCATAGTATTTGTGCAGCAAGTATGGGCATACCTGATAATAGAACTTACTTTGGCAGCTTTCTTTTTTCTATATTAATAGAAGAAAAGTTAACTCTTCTGGATACCAATCTATAGTATTTCTCTTTTGATTGATATTGCTCAACTGTTAATAAATCAATTAATAAATATCTTTGTTCTTATTGTAATTGATTCTATGCTTTAAAAGAGGCTTTAAAAATTTATACTAGAAAATATAAAAAAACTAATTTATCTAAAGAGCCTGTTTTGGATATAGATTTTAAAAGTGGTAAAACTATACAGGTAGATAAAAAAGTAGTGCTAGAAGATTTGTTAGAAACCTATCCTCGGCAAGTGCAAGTTCAAGAAGAGTTGATTGCAGACAGAGTATTAATAGTTAACTAGAATACTTAGAAGCAATATGAGTGGAAAATAAATAATTAATTACTTACTGTATATACAAGGTTAATATGTAATATTGTGTGTTCAAAAATAAACCATTTTTAATTCAGATATGATTTTTGTATTACTTTATGCAATAATTTCTAGATGTTGTATATACAGATGTACTATATACAAATAATGCAGATCAATTTTTAAAATACTATTTATATTGTATATGTATATGATATATAATTTATGTAATTTTTATTACAGTATATACGATTATAAGATGTTTATAGAATGTTCAAATATTTAAAAGTCAAAGTTTAATATTAAATTTTTTCACTAAATATTTTTAGAGAATTTACATATAAGAGCCCAAAAGATAAAAATAATTACAAATAAGAGCCCAAAGTAAAAATTGTCCTTAGATATTTAAACGTATTACTTTTTAATCAGTATTGCCTTTATTGTATTTATTCTCTTAGCACCTTTTATGTAAAAATTATAGCCACCTTTGCCAATTTTTAACTTTCTCTACCAATAAAAATGAGCTTATTTAATTCTAAATATCTTTGATTAATGTATAGTAACTTTTACAAAAATTTGTTCTTGGTTAAGAGAAAGTTCATTAAGCAAAAAGTAAAGTAAAAATATATTAATCAATATATAACATATAGTTATAGCAATTGAAGAACCACTATTATCATAATGCAAAGTTATTTTGGCCTTTAATAAATTTGAGTCCTTATATATAAGTTTCTTATATTTTTAACTTGACAAAATTGTTAAAAAATCATTAATGCTTTAAT